TCGATTTATTAGATTTATTCTTTATATTATTTATTCTTTAAGTTTACATTTACTAATGCAATAGTTAATGAACTTGTGCTTATTTATTTTTCAAAAAACGAATTACATGTGAGATAAACAAGAAAATCCATACATTTAAAATATTAATTTTAATTTTAATACACGAAAATTTGAAAATGAAACAAATATAATTTTAAAATGTAAATATAATTTTAAAATGACATCAAAACTAAATAAACTATCATTAAATAATTTTCATAGAAACCTAGTTTGGAAATTTGGACTGTGTCAAAGAAGTGAAAAAGTAAAAGATTCAAAATTAGTGCATGTTCTTTGTTTCTTCTCATATGTGTATTATATAAGTAGATTTGATTTTCTTGTATTTAATATTGCATCTGTATTTCACAATATTTGATTAGTTCTAGAAAGAGTCGTAAAATAATGCAAAATCAGTTAAATAATTACAGATAATATTTCATATTGTAAAAACAACTGTCGGGCAACAATATACTGAAAAGTATTTCATAATCTTATCTAAATCTTAATACATATTTGTTTAAATAGTACTAAGTAAATATTTACTCAATAAAAAATTACAGCTAAATCAAATTAATGGTTTTTATATCAAATATTTTTACATTTCGTAAATATTTACTTACGTTAGAACTATTTAAATAAATATTTATGAAAATATTTTATTTTTTTTTCAGTATAGAAAAATCGCTCGATATGCTAAATAAGCGAGCCGAATTATCTAAAAAAAATTCCTGTTCCTGTAATTGTTTTTGTAATAAAAATTTTATGTCAGAAATGATTTTCATTTTAATTACTCGCAGAAACGTCTTGCCGTGGGAAAGAATCGCGAGTGAATAAACCCAAACAACACAAAATCTAAAATTGTGACATAAGACGTCTTTAAATCATCTTTTAGATGCGAAAAACGTCTTATCCAATTTTAAACACTTTTTGTTATTTGAGAATGGATACTCAAGAGGACTATCAGCATATAACAACACTTATAAGAATTTATATAAATATTAGTAAAAATTGATTGGAATTTAAATTATTGTGTCTTTTTCTACTCTACAGTAAATACAAAGTATAATACATAAAATCAATGTTATAATTTCACACTCAACAACGTAATTGTTACATAAAACATATTATAATATCTGTATATATTGTTGAGTGTGAAATTATGACATAGATGTTACATTAGTTGGTGTTTATCGTCTTATGTACAGAAATAATGAATCATCAATCAAGCTTAATCAGATCTAACGCTTGTATTGTAGAAACAATTTCAGAAGCAAATATGTCTTTCTCTATTTTTTCCAGATATCCCGAGTTTTTTGTCCAAACATAAATTTGTCTCTACAAATACAAGAGATTAAAAAGCGACGTATCTCGCGCTTCACGCGGACGAACGCAGGCGCGGAGCCAATGCGAGATTCGGCATGTTCGGAATGTCAAATACAAACGCACGTCTACAATTTGTACACACAAACACGCACGTAAAAAAAAACGCATGACAGGGCATCACACCACTCCTACATGATGATCAATCCAAACAACAAAAGGCAAGTTTGCTTACATTCGATTGAGGTACTGTAGAGTCACGCTGATGATCTCACCGACGAGCTCGTTCTCATTGACGTCGTAAACGCTCACCTTCACCGGCAGCTGATCATCCGGATTCACCCTGGCGATGAATTCAGCGAAGAATCGCGAATATTCGCCGAGGTAATCGCCGTCCGCCACGCAGTCCGCGGCCATTGTCGCTTCGTGAGACGCTCGTATAAACACGCACGTGCCACGAAGGAGCGACGCGCGACGCTACGCCACGGCAACGCACGCTTTGCTTCGGACACCGCTCCGCTTTGCTTCCAGCTCCCGACGCGCCCCGGCCCGCTATAACGCGTCTCGTTCCGCTCCGCTTGTAGTGCGCGCCGCCGCACGCGCGCTACGCTCCGCGTTCGACGCGACGCGCCGAACTCGTAACGTACGGGATAACGCGGGTCCGATTATATTCGATACCGATCGCACTGTCGTCGCCGCACCGACTTATTCCGAGTTAAGACACGCCAACCACGTGATCCGATCTACGCAATATTTATATATCTATGTATAAGTTATGTCATTCATTCAGCGGAGCGTCCACGCGTCGCACACACTCGTCAATCACTACTTGATACAGACGCGGAACATGATTCGGTTAGGACGTACTCCGATGCGTACGGCGTATGTGTATACATGCACGCACCTATGTACGTGTCATATACGCGCACGTATGTGGAACGGAAAAAGCGGCGTAATTATGAGGAAGGACGGAGAGAGGAAGAGAGAGAGAGAGAGAGAGAGAGAGAGAGAGAGAGAGAAAGAGAGCGCGAGTAGAAACAAGAGTGGAAGGTTCGCGCGCCGCGACGTTCGAAACACTGGACGTTCCACTCGCTCCGTTTACTCGCGTCTCGTGATCCAGTGACTTTTCTTCTTTCATTCGGCGCACGAATTGACTCCTCGGCGATGTAGACGCCGTTAAGAGATTAGGAAGATCGCCAGGCGACGTATCCTCGGACGACCACGCATGTCCCGCGACCTTACCGACGCAATGATCCCGCGTCGTTCCGCTCCGGGAGATTCTGCGCCGTCGCTCGGGGCTGGTGGTTTGGTTCAAGGTGAAAACAAGTCTCACGCATGCGCAGCTCACGCTTCGTTGCGTTCAAAAACTCCTCCTTGCTCCTCTTTTTCGCGGGGAATGAACGGAAAGGCTGAAAGAATTATTTATATCGAAATTTGTCTGTGAATTTTATCGTTCCCTTGTGGAAAAATATTATTGAACTTAAAGAATACTTGGAAAAATAGAACGAATAGTTTAAGTACGATATTCAATCCAATATCTTTCAATTATTCCCGATCATCTATATATATCATAAAATTCACTGAAAAAATATTTAAATCTTCATACGTATTTCTTTGAATGGCATTAAATAAACATTTACTTATAATAATATGGCTGTCTCTGGATTAAACGGTAATTTCAAGAAACTGAAATAACATAACTTATATAAAAAAGAATGAATTCTAAGTATAATAAAAATAATTTTAGTTTACAGATGTAACACAAAGGAAATTGAATTGACATTTTTGATAAAGAGATTTATAATTAAGTGAATCCATCTTCGGCTATGGAGAAGCACAATGACATCAAGGAATGCAAATCACGCATAGTTTGGAGCAAACGTGAGGTATATAATCCTATGGCCATGATCATATATTTATTCGCAGACTGCAAAACTTTACATATGTATTATTGTACACATGACTTTGAATAATAAATATATGTATGTATAAGCTACGTTTAAGATAACATAAAAAATCTGCTGTTACAATATAGTACATTTTGTATCGAGAGGAGATACCTCTACGTTCTGCTTCATCTCTTTGTTTCGTATATGCAGATACGAGTTCTCAAACTTCTTTTGCATCCATTCGGGCAGAGGAGTGTTCCAGTTCTCTGGCGGTTTCTTCCTCCTCTCCCAGACGTCGTTCTGATAATGCGCATGCAATCGATTATATCGGCGTTGCTTCTCGCTCTTAATCAGCGCGTCCTGCGAAGATTTTGTTTCAGTATTGTTTTACTTCACTGAGAGAAAAATTTTTAATATTTGTAATTACATGTTACTATAATTATGATTACAATTGCTATAATGTTAATAATAATAACATATATAATTCTATCAACAAATATATAGTTGGCTATGGATTATGAACATTTTCGACTGTAGTAAGTTTTTAATTGGGTTGGATTATGCTTTGTTATTGATTGACATTACATGCTCTATCAATAGTACAGCTTGCAGCATCATTAATCCAAATTGAATCAGTTTTTTTAAAACCTGCTACAATAGAAAATGCTGTATGATTACAATTATTATTATCATAAGAAATGTTGCAATTACTATAATTTAACTTTACTATAATTTACTATTAAATTACTATAATTTTTGGAAAAATTACTTTTTAATAAAAAGATTATAAATTGTAATAACTGCAATTATTTTTACAATAATAAGTATAATTATAATAGTAATTTTCGATTTCCACTATGTATATATTTGTAGTATAAAAAATTATTATTAATATTATAGAAGTAATAATCATAAACTTTTGTAACTATAAATATTTTAATTATAATAATATATAATTAAAATATTTATAGTTACAAAAGTTTTTCTCTTAGTCCATCAGAAATTGAGATGTGTTATCGTCAAAACATTTATGGCAACCTGCATACATATGCTTCTTCCGATTTGTGCTTTTCCCATTGATAGCAATTGCGATAATCAATCTTCCACTGGTTGCAGTCGATTGTTTCACCGAATATAAAGTATTGATGGAAACGAGCCTTTATACTGCTGCAATCATCATACTCATCTTTGTATATCATACATGGTCTAATCTAAAGGAAAAATATACAAATATAAATTGAATACAAATTGAAGATCCAATGGATAATGATATAAATAAAGGTATAATCGCATACCATCCACTCATGATAGCGGAGTGGCGTTTTCTCTTCTTTTTTTACTTCGCTCATATTTGCTAAAATATATCAATATCTTTTAAATCACACATAAAAAATAGATTTGTCTATTTACTCGCCGGACACATGTTTAATATACAACATATCACAACTGAAAAAATAAATATCGCAACTAAAAGTGATAGTATTTAGGTTAGATATAGGTTAGGTTAGGTTAGGTTAGACACGAATGATGCATTCGGAACGACAACTACACTCGCTTTTATGAATACATAGAATAATTCCCTAAAAGTGCGAGCAGAGTGACAATTGCGGAAATCGAAAATTGCAAGTGTATTCGAATCGAAGACATTGAAATTGGTTAAACTGGTTGAACTGGTGAAGTTAGTCGTGATAGAAAGTCGAATATTGCGAGTGTTATTAGAGGTTCTTGGACTTCTTGGATTTCTGTCACCTTTCCTAACCTCTCACTGCTTTCGCCCCACGGATGTCCCGGTATCTTTGGTGCCGTGTAATTGGTGCAATAATTGATTACCGGTGATTTAATAGCGCGTGAACAATAACATGATGTCGCGGTCAGTGCGGGCGGAGACTCGTAGTCGTGCCAAGGATGACATTAAACGTGTAATGCAAGTAGTTGATAAAGTTCGTCATTGGTAAGTTTCCTGTGTTGTGTTCGGAAGGAGAGAAAAAGGCGGATAAAAGGAATTGCCAGGTCTTACGTTTGTCATTTATCGCTAATTTATATTGTTTCATGGAAGATATTCACGGATCATACGAAAAAAGTGAAACAAGTGCTTGTGTTTTGTTTAATTGTCAGAAGGGCGTGATGTCTGATGTACGTATTGATGAAAGACTGCGAGGCAGTTGCTAATGTTCAAACTTGAAATATCCGTTTCGAGTATCAAAATATTAAAAATTATATGAAATTTTGTATGACAGAAGCTTTTAATCTACTAAAAACGAACGTTCAGATAAGAATATTATCAATTCAATTGAAGATTTCATAGCTGAGCTTTGGATAGAGTGATAGAATTTGTCATAGCAAACAAAGACAAACGTATACTTACAATTAGTAATACATAGGCCGGTATTTATAGTCGAATCTTATATTTAAGACCATCTTAAGTACAATCTTAAGATATTATGAATCAATCAGAGAGAGAGAGAAAGAGAGAGAGAGAGAGAGAGAGGGCCAATTAACGATTTAAGATATTACTTAAGATGGTCTTAAAATAAAAATCAACTATGAATACCGACTATAGTTTAGCTATGAAAACTGAAGGATCTTTCTTTTATTCTTTATTGAATAATGCATGTTTTTGCTCCTATATTCTATTAAATTCGTTATTTATATAAAAATAAATGGATAAAATTCTGAATACATATATGATCGCAGGGAAAAGAAATGGGTCACAATAGGAGAAACAACTATGAAAATATATAAATGGGTTCCAATCTCGACACTCGATCAGGTATTTCACGCAAAAAATATGATACATGCTGATTAAAATTAATCAAAACAAGTAGTTAAGAATAAATTGTTTTATTTTGTAGAAGAAAAAGGGAAAGACAGTTTCCGACAAGGAAAACGGTTTACCAAGGAAAGGAGGAATAGAATCATCAAATTCTAATTTCGGTCTTACAGAAGATTCCAATACGTGTGAGTTCGATTTTGGTAATTTGTGAAAACTGTTTGTAAAAATTATTATGTCATTGATTAACATAAAATATGAATTTTTTTACATACTAGGTTTCTCTACTGTTAGTGATTCTCAAGGACTGACAGATTTCTCTGCACATTTGGGCTTTTCAGAAGACTCGAATTCACAAAACAGCGAACCTGCACCCAAGAGATTAAAGACTGACTAATGTTTGACTTACAATCAGCATCACCGCCAATACATCGTATAGAGATTGACATTTAGGAATCTATCTCTTTCGTGAATTTGCACTTGATAATTTTTTATTAAGACATACTTCCTAATATGAATGGGTCACAAGAAAAGTTTTTCTTTTCTGTTTCATTCGAATTTAGTAAGATATAAATTATATATATATTATATATACATACATATACTTATATAAATGCAAATAGTATCGATTCTAAATAGTATCGAAACGTTTTGAATTATGTATAATGGAATTTATTTTTTCACATATGAATTTATTACAAACTTCCCCATTGAATTTAGAAATTAGAAACAACGATCGGTTAATTGAATAGAATAACAGGCGAGTGCTCAATCCGTTTATGTATGTATATTGTTTTTATATTAAATATTTAATCCTTGAATCAAATTACTTATACAATGCATATAGAATGGAGCTTGGAATTGAACTTAAGATTTGTTGATTTATAAATCAACCGCTCTTGCACGTCATCTCAATCAGTTTATTAAACTTCTTTTTTTGTTTTTATATAATCCCGCTAAAAATATGCGTAGTCTAATAAGGAGAGGCTACGCTCTGCTCTTCACCGATTTTGATCAAACTTGCAACGATGTTAGAGGAGCCTATCAAATGAATACCTGTAAAGCCATTCGCGCTAATGGGCTTTAGAAGCCGAGTAATAAGCATTTAAAAATATACCAAAAAATCTGAAAACTAATATCTCAGAAAGTATGCATTTTTTAGAAAAATGTCTTAGACAAAAATGGTAGCGTTAAATAAGATGTATTTATTGGCTTTATTTGACTTTGGAAGGCATCGTCAATTTTGACTTTGGCGATGCCACTCAAGGTCAATAAAATAGTAAATACATCTTATTAAACTCTACTTTTGTCTAAAACATCTCTTTCAAAAATGCATACTTTCCGAGATATTAGACTGTTTCCAGATTTTTGGTATATTTTTAAATGCTCATTAGGCGGCTTCTAAGGCTCATTAACGGGAACGCTTTACAGATATTCATTTGATAGGCTTCTTTAACATCGCTGTATTAAAAAATTGAAAGTTTTCAGTAAAAGAATATGAAGTGATTGTAACCCGTCGGAAACAATAAAATAATATATATGTACATGTTCTATTCTTAACTTAAAGATTCTAGAGTATGAGATTGTAAAAGTGACTTCAGACATTGAAAAATGTTTGATAATAAAAGCGGATTGTACATTCGCGGCGATTAGTAACACACACTGCAGTATTACTTTTTTTCGGAATTGTGTTTTTCTTGCTATGATTATTGCATCAAGAATTATCCATGCAAACTATTGGAATAACATTACAGTTTTGCAAAAACAAAAAGTCAAGTGCTAAAAAACATACCTTTATATACAGTTCATGCTTCTGATAGTCCTTAAAAATCATTGTATATATCTCGAATATCATTTTTGTTCATTAATACTATAGGAGAACTTGCATTCCTCTGCGTTATAGCACCGTGACATGTACAAAATAAGCTTGAACTCATACGAATAAAATAGATGATCTCTTAATCAGTGCATATTATAGCATCTCTTGAAAATATTATAAAACATTTGTAGTATGTTTGTATAAAGATATAAATGTTAGTAAGAATATCTTTATATTTAAAAATATTCTTATTAATTGTTATAGCGAGTATTCCAAAATGTAAAAAGCGATTTGTGGAAATATTTCATTTATAAGAATATTTTCACTTAAATTGTGTTTAATGAGACATTAAGTCAAAATTTGAGGGAATGAGTCATCGAAAGTGTGAAGAATATTCTTTGTTTTAGAGTTTTTTTCTAATTAAAATATATGTATATTTATGATTTTTTTTACAAAAACGATGTATATTTAGTGTTAATTTAAAGTATTTAAAAATCCATATAAAATATTATGTACAAAAAAATTCATTTATTAAATATTTGATCACTATTACCAGGATAATATTTTACCATCATACTGCACGAAACAACCGGTTTGTTTTTCCGTTAACGAGTTTAAGGTATTCAGAATGCAATTGACACTGCTGTCGACGTCCATTGGAGCGTTGCTGCCACCCAGATCGGTTCGCACCCATCCTGGATGCAAACACACCACCAAGATCCCATCTGCTTTTAAATCGATGCTCATTGATTTTGTCGCCGCGTTAAGCGCCGCCTATTTTATAAGTGAGATTAAATAAAATTTTGCAAAATTATCTCAAGTGTTTAACGATACAAGATACACGTATTGACAAAATCTAAAGTGTAATATAGGTTTTCTAATTTTAAAACTTAAAAATTTATAAATTATACATACAGTAATATAGGTACTCTACAAATTTTATCAAAACTCAATTTTACATTTCAATAAGAATGTACAATATTTAAATTTTAATTCTACAGAACTGATACGAAAATGTCTGTAAAAGATCCATTTAATTTATATTAATTAAAAGGCACTAATTTCAGAGAATTAAAGTGGCACTAATTTCAAGGAATTAAAATGACATAATATCACAGTCCGTGCATTAATACGTATAAAAGAGAATGAACACTAAAATATATAAATTCGTGATTTTTAATAAGAATAATGTAGATGTGACAAATTGAATTGACATTTTTGACAAAGAGATTTATAATTAAGTGGGTCCAACAGATTGTCAGTTCCAGAAGATTAAAGTTTTACCTTGCTGCATCTGTAAGGATAAAAACCGCCATCACCATTTTCGGCAATACTGCCTAGGATAGATGTCATGTTAATAACTGCTGCTCTTCTTACATTTAATCCCGTTTTATCCTCGGAATTTTTCGCAGCTGTTTTAAGTAGCGGTAGGAAAGCCTTGAATCGATTATTATTTTCTTATGAACCGACGTTATTCGGTAATGTAACATTCATGAATGTAAATGGACTGTAGGTATACCTTTGTTAGCATAATCGGTGCCACGGTATTTATGAGAAAAGCATCGGTAATCTGCTGTTTCTTTACGAGGCCAAGACGCGTAAATTTGCTGGAAATACCAGCGTTATTAAAGAGAACGTTAAGACCAGCGCCATTTACTCTTTCATTCACTGTGTCTACGACCCTCTTGTAGCTATCCGTATTCGTTAAATCTGTAAAAAGGTAAAATTTTTTTCGCGATCGATGCTAGAACTCGCTAAATTCCATGTTTATGAAAAGAAAGTTCAGTTTTGCGCGATAAATATTTAATAAAGCTGATTCTTCTCTTGTATTATACACAAGCATTTGTCAAAGCATATATGTATAGCATACGTCAATGAAGGCTTACTAATGCAATGGCGTGACACAGCACTTTTTACATTTTCATTAGTCTTTTATATTTTCACTAGATTGATAAAATTAAAGAAATTTTGCTCCAATTTTACACGATAAGATTAAAATTCATAATTTATTTTCAAAAAATAATGAAATAGATATTAGTACAAGTTTGATATCACATTAATTAAAATTTATAATCCTTTTGGAAAAAAGAAAGATTTTTGAAAAAATTCGTCGTATTGTACTTAAATTAATATATTAATATATATTGCTCGTTCTAATGAACACGTGTTAAAATTATATTTCTAAAAAAATATATATGTATTGTATTATGTATAAAAGTTTTAATCATTTAATTATTCTTATTTTACTCTAATATCTATAAAGACAAAGGAATAAATGACGAAAACAAGTTTATCTATTTTTAAAGATTTCTAGATTGTTAAAGTACTAGTCATGTTCAAGAATCGTTTTCGGAATGCTAATTATAAAACAAAAGGCCACGGTAAATGAAGCGCATGAAGGAATTAAAAGAATTTAAAGAATCGTTTAATTTCTCAATACTGCTCTTATTTATTAAATTTAAGAAATACGAAGAACTGTGATATATGTTATCTCGTTGAATGTTTCATATTGATCGATGAAATTATTACATGAGATTATTATATGAGATGTGACGTAGAGATATTTTTGTATGTCATGTATGAATTTAATTTTCCCAGTAATGCGATGACTCTTATTATCACATTTTAACTAATACAAGTCACATATCACTCCTCGATAAAGAATAAAAAAAAAATTGATCTCCTTATCGCGTGCAAGAAAGAATTAATCTTTAACGTTTCTAAAGTAGAAAATTTTAAAAGTAGATGGTATCAGATAGCACATTGATTAGTATATCGATCAAGCAAAATGGCATCTTTTTTTCTACGATAGGAATGTTCGCGACGCGTTTCGCAGTAGACGTGTCGATTGTATTCGGATTTTATTTTTCTTCATTTCGCATCTATCTAATGCAAGGTCGCGAATATGAAAGCGCGTAAACTGAATAAGGCGAAAGCATGGATGATATGTTGTGAAAAATCGCAAATTGTCGATTCTGATTCGAGCGATCGAGAAATCGAGGAGCATAAAGCGCGGAATAGAACAAAGAAGCAGCTGCATAACAAGGGAGAAAACAAAGCTGAGGATAAAATGGAGAGCGTTGTGGAGAATAAAGTGGAAAATCAGGTAGACAAGATGAATAAAGTGAGGAGCAAAACGCAGGATGATATTGAGAACGAAATGGAGAACAAAGTGGAGAACCAAAAAAACAAGATAGAGAATAAACTGGAGGTCAAAACAGAGGACAATGTTAAAATAGAAAGTCAGACAGACGAAGTAGAGAATAAAGAGAGGAATAAAACGAAAGGTGTCGAGAATAAAATGGAAAACAAAATGAAGAACAAAGTAGAGAATCGGATAGACAAGAAGAAGAATAAACTGGAGACTAACACGGAGGACGATGTGAACAAAATGGAAAACAAGGTAGAAGACCAAATAGATGAAGTAGAGAAAGCAGAAAATAAAAGGGAAAGTATTATCGAGAATGAAGTGGAGAATCAGATAGACAAGAAGGAGACTAAACTGCAGGCTAAAACAGAGGGTAATATCGATAATAACATAGAGAACGAAATAGATGAAGTAGAAAATAAAACAGGAAGTAAAATGAATGATGATATTGAGAATAAAATAGAAAATAAAATAGAGAATCAGATGAACAAGACAGAGAATAAACTGGAGACCAAAACGAAGGATTATGTTGATGAGATGGAGAATCAAATGGAGAACCAGGTAGAAAATAAAGTAGAGAGCAAAACGGAAAACGATGTCGAGAATGAAATAAAAAACGAAGCAGAAAGCAAAGTGAAGATAGATAGTAATGTCGATAATAAAGTGGATAATCAAGAAAAGCAGGAAAATATTCTTCCCACATCACACACAAGTAAGATCTTAGCATTTTTCTTTAACCGGGAATTTAGACATGCTTTTGTACGAATATTCGATTACCATAACGTGTTCCTATCCTAAAATTAATCTGTTGAAATTTTGTTTACGTCATTGTATGCGTTATTCATCATCGCGTTATAACTGGTATAACCAGTTATACATTTTCAATTTATGTGTATTTTTTAGCTATTTTGATCAGTGGTTTGAAAAAATACGAATCTCATTGTCAATAAAATTTAGAAAAAAAAATGAAATTTTTACAATTCGAATCCTTTTGCAATCTAGCTTGATTTTTAATTTAAATCTAAACAATCTTTCACTTGATTCAAATCATTGAAGTTTATGAACAAAAGAAAAAATTAAAAAATTCAATTTAGAATTATACAATTGTTGCAATTACATTTGAATAGAATGTTATTACAGTGTAATATTCGTTCTTCATGACAGTAATTCGCAAACGAAATATTAAGACTAAATCTTATTTACCCTTATTTAAAAATTGCTTTTAAAAATTGTTACAAAATTGTTAGATCTAGGAATGTTAATTTATAAATCATTTTCACCATTAAATATTCTAATAAGGATTGGAATTTTAACCAAAATAATATTGAAACTTTATATTGATTTTAATCCTTGATATTTAAAAGAACCCAATATTCTTAGGTTGTATTCCGTAAAACGCATTATGTCCTTGCATTTTATCTTTGCTATTCCACCTAATATTAAATAATAAATAAAGATAAAAGGATACACTTTATGTATACTTTATGGAATCAAAAGTTAATTGCACAATTGAAATATCAAAATTTCAAAATTTCGAGAGATATTTCATCAGATATAATTATTGCAAATCATCTCATTTTTTTTTCCAAAACATTTTTTCACCACGATAAAAATATTAAAAACAAAATAATTCTTCCCATTGGACGATTCAAATATTTCAAATTTCTCTGTGCTAATCAGCGAGAATTTAGCGAATAATGACCTAATTTATACCGTTAAGTTTAATAATGCAATTCATAACAAAATAGCAAGAATTATGGCTTACCTATCTCGATGATCTGTACAGCCGACGATTTGTCAGCGAGCACGCGTAATTCCTGTAAAGATTTCTCATTTTTTTCCTCTTTTCGTTTAAACGCAATTCAAACATGGACGGCGTTTCGCGCGATTATCTCGACAATACTTTAATCAGATGCGTATAATATGATAGCGAAAAACCGACTCATACTCGTTTCATATATAGATTAATTTTAATCTCGGCTCAACTTAACTCTTCGTCT